ATTTCAGGAACATCTCTGTTGAAACTTTTAAGTAGGAACTTTTTATAGCTATAAGCAGTTGACTTTCATTAAGGGAGACCTCCCTCCTGCCCCGCCCCCCCCAACAAAATAGAAGAGTTTGTTTCAAGTTTTCTGTGTTTATAGTTCTGAGGGTTCATATGTGTACATTTCTTTGTGTTTTTAATGACTTCTTCTTTCTGATTTCTTCTGGGGTTTTTTTTGTTTGTCCATTTGTTTAGTTTACCCTCTGGTTCTGAGTCTCCAAACCTCTCTGGTCTGAGCTCAAGGCAGGAAAGGACTCATTTTTGTATTATAGCTGTATCCTTAGTGTCTGCCACAGGAAAAAAAGTTTTGTTGACATAGCACTGGGAAAGTACCAACAGGGTCAGGTAATGTCACTTATTTAAATTTTATCAAACTGGAGAAAGAAGCTGGCTTACTCATCAAAAGTTGGTAATACTAAAGGACTCAGGCATAACACAGCTCTAGTTATACTTTAAACACCTCTGTAGTTAAAGAAATTATAAAGTCTGATTTTCCCCCCAAACCATTGTATTTTGGGCTTTTTATTTTTAGAGAAAAGAAGCTAGGAGTTATTACTCAAGCCCCTACTGTGTAATAATACAAACATTACCTTATTTATTCCTCATTAAAACCCAATGAAAAAGATTTTATCCCATTTTATGGAAACTAAGTTTCAGATGGTTGTAATTGTCTTTCAAAATTATTTTACTTCAACTCACAGTAAGAAATGCATTTTATATCATGACCGCTGAAGAACACATAATCATGTCTTCACTGAGCTAAGTTTCATGATTCACCCTTACTATATGCAATGCATTGATACTATTTTTAAAAAATATTTTATTTATTTTTAGAGAGAGGGTAAGGGAGAGAGAAGAGGGAAAGAAACATCAATGTGCAAAAGATATACTGATCAGTTGCCTCTTGCATGCTCCCAACTGGGGACCTGGCCCGCAACCCAGGCATGCGCTCTGACAGAATTGAACCAGTGACCTTTTGGTTCACAGGTCAGCACTCAATCTACTGAGCCACACTAGCCAGGGCTAATATTTTCTATTTTATTTCACTTATTTAAAAAAAAAATCCTCACCGAAGGATTTGATTTTAGAAAGGGACACACACACACACACACACACACACACACACACGCACACCGCCCCCCCCCCCCCCCCCCCCCGCCCCACCGATGTGAGACAGAAACATCACACAAAATGTATAGCCTAGGTATGTACTCTGACAGGATCAACCCCACAACCTTTTGGTGCACAGGACACTCCAGCCAACTTAGCCACCCGGCCAGGGCTATTTCATTTAAAAAGTTTTGCATCTTGTTAAATCAGTTTCACAAACTACTAATAGGATACAATCAATAGGTTGAAAAAAAACTGGTCTGAATTTTCAAAATCATGGAAAGTGGTAAAGCTAAGATTTCAACTAAATTCATGCTTTTTCCAGCAAAAAAAAAAATTCCTCATCAACATTTAATAATGCTTTATTAGTTATGTTATGCTTAGTTTCTTCTCATAGGATGGAGCCAGCATGATGATCCTAGACAAAGAAGTAGACCCACCCAGTACTATAACATGAGACAAAACAGTTACACAACTATATAATGACATTAATTCTCCTGTTTGGTATGTGAGTGAATGTAGCATTTGCTTTGATTTCTAATGCAACTTGCTATCCACAAAAATGGGCAATACATTAAATTTATCTGGGGCTATAGACTAGACTCACAGAGTTTGTCTTAGCTTAATAGCAAAATCTTCAAATTTTAGTAAATTTTAAGTTATTTTTAACTTCACTTATGATAGGGCTAAAATGAAAGATGACGACACCTGGGGAGAAAAGTAATGGGAGTGGGGAACAGGGTTTTGGGGAGAAAATAAGGAATGGTAGGTACAGAGAAAGCAGTAGACAGTCCCCCAAATCTTATTTTAGCCCTTCATCTAATGAACTGAAGATTGCCTTAGCTACAGAATAACTTGTTTCATGTTAGATTTTAAAATAAAATTTTAAAAGAGTACTTAAAAAACTCTGTAATATTCATGTAAATCTCAAAATCATCCACTGGCCTCGTCTCCCAAAGTAAATGGATACATCTCAAACCCAATCATGATAAGGAGAGTATTTCCTTGGATGCTTATGTCAATCCTATTACCAGTGGTTTATTTTTCCATATGTCTATCATCTCTAATGTGTCAGCATCCTTGCCCAGTCCCTCATCCCCTCCCACACGGATAATGGCAACAGATGCCTTGCTGGTTTCTTTTGACTCCAGTTCTCCCATCCTTGCATGCAAGCTTTATACCTTTTATACTGTCATTCAATCAACAGGTAACTGTGATAGTTGTGTGTTCTTCTAGTTTATGTCTCACTGTTGCTTATACACATCCCTCTGCCTAACAGGTCTCTTTGCTGGGTCGTACTCCCATGTCCACCCCCGCACCCCCCAACCTACTGCTTTTCCCGGAATGGTCTTCTGTTTTTCACCTATCTAAAGTCTACTTACCTTAAAGGCTTAACTCAAGCCTACCTTTTCCATGAAGCCTTCACAAATTACTCAGCCCAAAATGATCTCTGAATTTACATTCAGCTCTTATGCAGTAGGGTTAAGTAACTTGATTTGACCTTTTTTTTTTTTAAACCATGTCTTGTGTCTTGCTGTTCTTGCTTTATCAGTTAGACTTGTCCAGCTAACTTCCTACCCACCTCTCCTGGGAAGTCATCCCTGATCCCTGTCTGAGCTGTGTGCTATTCTTCTGGGCTTTCACAGCTCTCTGCTTACTGTTAAGTAACTCACACTGTGCTGTGATCATTACTGACTTGAAAACAGAGCCTAAATCAACTAGCTTCTAGCAAGTGCAAACGCGTAGAACTTAAAAAAAAAAAAAAGGAAATGTAAATATCACAGTAATTGGCTCCTACTTCTGACAGCATGGATGAGAAAGGGCTTTCCCAGTAAAATACAACTAGATCCTGGATAAATTACAGCAAGCATGATATTTAGCACACTGCTGAGCCTGCTAGAAGGGGAAATCAGAAAAAGGAAAAAATTAAATTGAAACCTGTATGAAGGATAGCCAACCAACATGCAGTAGGAAAAGCAGGTTTGCAGTAGGACAAACACCAATACCAGTATTGCGAACAGACGCTAACCCTTGGGCTGAGCCAAGGAAGGGGAGAAAACCTGGCATTCCTGAATTAAACTGGGACTCTTGAAGGGGCTAACACAGTCCCTGAGCAGGAGCACCCTTTGGCTCCTGGCAGAAGCAAATGCAAATTCCTCTCTGGAGGAAGGTACCCACCATTTAGGCCCTCTGAATTCCTATATATTAAGCTTAACAAAATATAAGCTTGAAACCCAAGAACATAAAATATATGAGGAAACAAGCTACCACAGGCAAAACAAAACAGATTTTAGACACCCAAGGTAAGTTACAGAATATAAAAATAACAATTAACAATCCCAACAAATTTCAAAGAACCGGTATCCCAAAGACCACATTCTCTGAGCACAAATGATAAAGCTGAAAATATCAAAAAGATAAATTCTTAAATACCCAGACACTTGGAAATGAAAAAACTTTTTGAAATAATTCATGAATCAAAACAGTCATAAGGGTAAGTTCAATGCTCTTAGAATTAAATAATAATTAAATTAGTTTACAACAGGAAAACTTGGGGAATGTAGAGAAGCAGGTGCTTAAAAACATACACTAGAAAAAAAAGCTTGACAAATAATTAGGTGTCAAAATTAAGATGTTTTAAGATTAAAATCTAAAGAAATCTGAAAAATACTATAAAAGAATCCATAATTAATAAAATGGTAAACAAATACAGAAGGAAGAGGATCAACAAAGCCCAAAGTAGTAACTAATGGTAGACAAGTAAAATAACAAATTTCTGGTGCAACTGATCAAAGGAAAGAAAAAGCACTAGTAGAAATGAAAAGAAGGACAAGACTACATGGAGCAGAGGCAAAAACAAAATACAAGAAATTTCATTAAAAAAAAGACATAAAATGCACAAAATTCTAGAAATACACTTTTCCTAAATTGATGCGAGAAGATACGGAGCCCTGGCTGGTGTGGCTCAGTGGATTCAGCACTGGCCTGTGAACCAAAGTCACCTGTTGGATTCCTGTTCAGAGCACATACTTGGGTTGCAGGCCAGGTCCCCAGTAGGGGGCGTGCTAGAGGAAACTGATTGATGTATCTCCCCCAAATCGATGTTTCTTTCCCTCTCTAAAAAATACCGTATTTTGCTGTGTATAATGCGCATCTTTTTGCCCAAATTTTTGAGGGAAACATAAGGATGTGCATTATACATGGGCATAATGATTAAATGCCATGGGAATGATCCCACGTATAATACACAACAAAAATGTGGGTGCGCATTTTACATGGCAAAATACAGTAAATTAAAAAAAGGATTTAAAGAAATACGAAGTCCAAATAACCTATAATTATTAAAGAGATTGAATCAATAAACTTTTTCCTACAAATGTAAGTCAGGCTCAGATGGCTTAATAGGTGAGTTTTACCAAATCTTCAAGGGACAGTTCATTTCAATCTGATGTAAACTCTTCCAAAGAATAAGACAGGAGAAAATAGTCCCCAATGCACATGGTATACAGACTAAAGAAGCATCTTAGAAAATTTTTTAGAAATCTTGCAGAAAAACAAAGGCACTAACATATATAAGAATATTCATAGCAGCATTGTTTGTAACAGCAAAAAATTGGAAATAATCCAAAGTCCATTGATAGGTGAATGGATGAGTAACATGTGGTTTATGTGCTTGAAGAAAATGAATGATCATAGCTACCTACAATATGGATAAATCTTGGAAATAATATGAAGTGGAAAAAAGCAACCTATAGGGTACTATTAGAGTATAAAATTTTCATAAAGCTAAAGGCAAAACAACATTTTTAAAGGATATACATATATATATTAGGTAACAGACAATTAAGGACAGTAGTTGCATCTAGGGAGAGGTAGGATGTAGGGTATGGGAGGAACACAAGAAAGTCAATGATATTTCTAATGTTTTAATGTATAAGTTGGGCGATGGGTCATAGGTAGTCATTTAATTATTATGCTTCATAATTTATTCATGTTAAATATATTCTTTATAGATATCAAATATTACACATTATAATTTTTAAAAATCTGCCATGGTGGAAATAAATGTCTCCCTGAAAGAAAATCTGTATTTCTTGGGAAGAACCAAGATTCCCTGACAGAAAACTACCCTACATAGAAGACAAAGTAGGTCCTCGATAAATATTGGTTGGTTTACTTCTTTTCCCAAAGATCCACCTGGAGGGTCTGGATTCCCTTCCTATTGGTACTCTCTGCTATGCAGCGCCACCTCGTTCCATACAGCTACCCTAAACCCCACAATCCTGGCTTGTCCTGATGTGTAAGAGACTGACACCTGGTGGATACAGAAAGAATTTAATAAAATGACTAGGAGTAAATCTTAACTGTTTAGTAAAAGTGGCAGTAAGGTGGGAGACAGGGAAGCAGAAATGAGGAGAAAGTCAAGTTCAGAAATAGGAAAAGGAAGGACCTCCATCTCTGAGCCATAGGTGGAAAAAAGGGGGTGGGGTGGGATTGTCATCTAAACGAGACTAAGGAGATAGTCCATAAAAGATAGTGACTTCCCTCTCATTCCTTCTGAGACCAGAGTAACAAGAGTTACAGCTGCACTAAGAAAAATGCAAGACTATGAGGAAAAAGACAGGTACGGCTGATCTCAACCAAAAACCACATGTACTTCATAGTAGTGGCCAGGTGCCAGCTGCCTCCCCAGAACTCCCAGTCTGTAAGGATACTCCCACCCTTTATTCCACAGGTGTATTCCCTGATGTAGAATAAGCAAATTAGCATACACCATCCCTGCTGGCCACAAGGATTGGTTAGGGGTGGACATGTGACACAAGCTGTCTTAATCAGAGTGAATCACAGGGTTTTTGCTAGGAGTCCTGGCGACAAAGATGCCCTCTGTTTCTGGTTGGACTTAAATGAGGAAACATTGTAATTCTAGGAGTGCTGGCGGAGTCAAGGCAGCCCAGGGTTCCGAAGATCTTACAGAAGGTAGAACAGCAGAGGAGGGAAGGCATAGGGGAAGTCAGTCGGGTATATGGAGGCATACAGAGCCACCGGATCAGCTTTACCTGGAGCCAGCACTACCTCTGGACTTTACAAGGACACGGGCCAGTAAATTTTTATTTTTAAGTCAGTTAAGAGTTAGATTTACTATGACTTAAGACCAAGAGATTCCTAACCTGTAACTTTATCATACCATTACATTCCTGTCTTCCCACAGGATAGCACAGGGATCCAGGTAAGGTCACTACAGATTAGTGTCTCTGAAGCCAAGGGTATTGAGCTGAAAAGGTCACAGGTAGGAAGCAGGTACTGTCTAAGACAGGATGCCTCGGCTGTCTATGGCTGTCTATACAAAAGAGCATGAATTCCCTTTGGAAAACAAGAGCCAGAGGAAAAGCGAGTGAGGTGAGGGGCTTCTATGAGGCAGGCAGGCAAGAGTTAGTTGGAGGTGAATATACATCTGGATATAAGCACTCTTCTCCACATACCTATCATTGGGGTATTGCTTTGGGTTCTTTCTGCTCATGGGATGAAGAACTTTGAAGTGTATGCCCCTTCAAATCTTTATTACCCTGTGCTGCAGTGTCTACCTCTCCCTTTTCCAAATGAAGAGCCTCCTTTTGGCTTCTACTGCCCCTGATGACACTCACTTTTGGGGTGACAAGAGGAAATTTTTCTCCTTTGGCATGGCGGGAACTGGGGCCCCTTCCTCCTTTGGAAGCAGCACCCTCTTCCTGACTTTGGGCAAGCACCATCCCCTTCTCCGCCTTTCCCATTGGCCCTGGCCCCTCTGACCCTCCAGCTGAGTTGCCTTCCCCTCCAGAGGCCCATGTCTCCCGGGCTAACCTTGAGGACTGGGCAGAGTCCATGGCAGCTGCTGACTTGTCAGGGGGAGAAATCCTTTCCCTATTTCCACCTGATTTTTTTCGAGGGCGCCCCCGTTTCCTTTTGGCATCACTTCCTGTATCCTCTATATCCTGCTTTGCTGCTTTAGCTGGTGGGTCCTGCCCACTGGCTTCACTCATAGGTACTTCGGCTGTCCTCTTGACACCCTTGTCATGAGGTCCTGGGTCACCACCTATGCCTACCTCCCTGCTTTCTGTGCCCTGTGGCTGAGTGAGCCCCCCAGGGGGAGCCTGCCCAGGTCCAGGTCCAGGCAAAGCCGGGACAGTTGGTAAGATCATATTAATGATGGGCACAGCTGCCTGGGATCCCCTAATCCTACTGGACACAGGCAGCGCAGTCAATTTCAGGGTGCCTGAAGGAAGCTTGGGGGCCACGATGGTTGGAGAGACGGAGATTTGCGGAATAAGTGAGCGAGGGGCCCGGGGGAGGAGCAGAGGCAGCCGGGCCACCAGGGCATTAACCTGAGGGTTATTGGCTGCTGGGGCTGGACTCTCTACTATGTTCTTCTTCCGCTCGCTGCGTGCTGGAGGACCAGCCCCAGCTCGGGGATCCAGCTCCTGTGGAGGCTAAGAAGTAAAGAGAGGAACACAATAAATGGGAAGACTGCACACTGGAGGAAACATAAGCACAGGAGGTGAAAAAGAATGAGACCCATGGGGGAAGGGTATATTAAGCCCCGAGGCTAGGGCAGCAAGGTCAGGGGCATCAACTTTCTTACCTGGGTCGACCTCTCTGGTTTCTTATGGGCTCCACCCTCTAGGTTCTCTGCACCATTCTTAGATTTAGATGACCGTTCCCGAGGGGCATGTTCGTCCTCTTCTGTGGAAGCGCCAGAAAAGGTAGTAAGGTGAAGAGGGAATGGAATGGGAAGTGTGGCAATTCTGACTGGTAGAGGGTAAGGGAAAGAAGGTGGCTTAAGGCATGTTCTAGAAGGGTCTCTAGGATTAAAAGGCAAATCCAAGGTGTCTCTATCCTAGTATGTGGGAGGACTTTTAAAGTTGAAAGTGGCAGAGGGTTTCTCGGGACATAGGACAGGGTCCACCCACCAGCAAGCCCCATGGCTTTGAGCACATGGGCATGTGGAGATCGGGCAGAGATGAGATGATGCTGTAGCAGGAAGCGGGCGACCTCAACGATGGAACTGAAGGACCGTTTCAGAATTCGCTCAGCCCAGTCACAGGTCAGGGCACAGGCTGCCTCAACCAGTTCATCCCGAGGTGCTGGGGTTACTTCTGGGCCCATTTCTGGCTGCAGCGGGGAGGGAAAGGCCTCATAATCCTCCAAACTAAAGGAACTTTGGCCCCTCTTTAACATCCAATGTTGACTGCAGTAATACCAGACTGGAGATGGGAGTGGCCTGTACCATCCTGTCCCAGAAACTCACATGTTCTCTTCATCCTCTGCCTCAGCCACAGGGTGGGCAGAAGGGCATATCCTATATACCCAGAAGCTATGTGCAGAATCACCTAGGCTGCGTCAGTCCTCAAAACATGTCCCAAAGACCTCTGACTTCTACCTTGGAGAAAAGAGTGCAATCACAGGGTTGTTTGTTACTTACACTCTCAGAGCCCTTTAAGTCAAGGCCAGGCAAGGGTGGCATAGACACCAAGGTCTTTCTTCGTATGCCACTGTAGCAGTATCTGATGTGATTTAAGGAGAAACCAACATATGGGGCTCTCCAAGCCCCTTAGGAAGGCTGGGCTCTTTCCACTCCTGGCTCTCCACATCCGTAAGTTTTCCTCCCCAGGTCCTCCAGCCCCAACCTCTCCAGTCAAGGATACTTGGACTGCCCCCGGCCACCAAGCCTTCGGGCCTTGATGTCAGGGAAGATCTCTCTGATGATTTTGCCAAAGTTGGCTGTGCTGAGTGGGCGGCAACAAGCAAGGCTCTCACAATATTTCCTGGTTGGGGGGGGGGGGCGCAGAATGAGAAGATACTCAGAGAAGGAGATCATGGGTGGGTTCAGAGGGTCCCTGGGGATCAAATTTGGGAAAGCCTTTTTAAGAAGTTAGGCTCTATCAAGGCAGGGAGCTCTCCAGGGGTAAGGGGTAGTCCTATGCCCACCAACCTACCCTTCCACTCCCCGCATCCACCCACCGATAGGCATCATAAACACTTTGCTTTGGCAGACAGGTGTCAGTATGCTCTTCTAGGTGGTTGCGGATCCACCTGTAGGCATACATGTACTCCTCATTGCTGAGTGTACTTGGCTCTGAGCTGCAAGAGAGTAAAAGAGAAAACCATTACTAAATACCCATAGTTGTCCTGGTTCTATCCAGGCGACCACTTCAGTAATGCTGGACCAAATCACTCCACTCAGAATCTACCTCTCTCTGGTAAATCAGTGTAGGCCAGGGACTTTTCTTCTTGATCAAGTACAGCCGTTATGAGTATTCCTATTCACCCGCCCTTTCCCAGTGAACCTTTAAGAATCAGAGCCTCTCAAACTGCATCAAGAACCAAGGTGCCAAATAAAACGATCAGTTTATTAAAAAAAAAAAAAATTCAGAATCTCTGACATCTAAAAGTCCAGCACCAAACATACCTTTTGTCTCCAGTACTGGGCCCTGAGGGGAGCTGAAGGTAGAGATACAGCTTGTCATTGTCTGAGAATTTCTGTACATCTTGCTGAGGTAGGGAAGAACAGAGGCAGGAGAAATGTAAGGCCAAGAAGGACCCAAGGTACGACCCTCTGATCCTTACCAAAAAGTCTAGCTGACTTAGAGACTGTCAAGACTGAAAAAAGACCTTAAAATGATTTGAGGCTGGGTGCTCACTGTGCTCTGAGGAGACCTTGTAGGCTACGTGGTTGACGGGGGAACACAGGGGATTGGCTCTGAATTTATTTCTCTGGGCTTCCACAGGACAGGTCACAGAGAGATGAAGTGAGGTGCTCAAGGTCAAACTGTTAGTATGTTGCAAAGCCAATTATCTTCTGACAGGGTAGACAATACCTTCTCTTCCACGAAACCCTTCATTTACTCATGTCCTCACCATCCTCATCCCCCACTAATTCAATCTCTCTATTGTCCTCTTCCCCAAAATACGTACCAAAATTCCCTCTACTTTGTTCTGCACGGCCTTACTGTGGAAAAGAGGAGAAAGCCAGAGGTCAGACACAAGATTTTTCCCCATTCTGTGTCTGATTTCTAGGGAGAGGAAGAGGACTCAAATGCCTGGCAGGTGCTCAAGAACTGCTACCATGGGAAGAATCTCTCCCTGGTCAGATGCACTTGCTCAGGGAGAGGCAGTTCATCTACAGAGGAAGCGCGGTAGTAGAGGGATCTTTACCCAGGTGTGGAACAATATTTGGAGGTGGTGATGAGTACTTACGAAATGGTACCTCGGAGCCTCTGAAGAAGGGTGGTGGGTTCCCCTGCCTCAGCACTACTGGAGGGGGCCCTTCCCGCTGTCTTTGGGCTCTTAGCATCAGGTTCATCTTCTGCCATCCTGGCATGAGGGCTAGAGTTGACGGGGGACAGGACATGAAGATTTAACTTCCCTTCCCCCAGAGACCCCAGGGCACTCATCTCTCTACTCAGAAGAAGAAACAGAAACAGAAAGACAGCCTCCGAATTTCTTCAGTGGTCTTTTCCTCACCACGTGCCTTCTCCAAAAATTAAAAATTATTCCATTACTTCTCCAGGCCCATATATACCCCCAAAGATCTTTGCCATCTCCATTCTATCTGCCCCACCTTCCTGCAGTCTCTCCTATATGTGGAAAACTGTAAAGGAAGAGATAGGGGAATTAGGAATCCACGTAAGAAATTTTCATTTCTGATCCTGTTCTCACACTGCCCTCTCCTCCCTCAAAAACAACCACCACAAAACAAAGTTATCTAATTCTCTTAATATACGCTCACCGTTGAAATTTGCCTGGGAGGTCAGAAAGGATAAGAGCATGTTCTGCCCTTCTAGGTTGGGGAAAAAAACTGGGCCCAAGTTCTCATTACTTAATCTTGCCACTGCTTCACCCGCCGCTCCCCCTCCCCATGTCGCCGGTCCCTACGTCATCTCCCTCAACATCCCATCCGGATGCGCGCCCCTACCTCCCGCCCTTCCCCCTCCATTCAATCCCGGTTGCTGAGAAGTAGAGGGTTCAGGGGAGCGGAACTCCTGGGCTGGACGTAGGAAACCCGGTTGGGGAAATGAGGTCCCAGATTCGGGGCACGTGCACATAGGTGAAGAAGCTGTTGAAAATACAGCTAAAATCTTTTTCGGCTCTCCTCCCAACTCCTATTGCCCCCTCCCACCTTTGAACAGTCACCTTCCCACACAAGCAAAAATAAAGGTAAGGGAGAAAGAGAAACTACCTCGTAGCCACCTTCGCTCCAGCCCAGCCCCACGGTCCTGGCCCGGCGGGTTTGCGCGTTGCTTTATTTTCTTTTTTCTGAATGGCTGGAATAGCCCCGATCTGCCTAGATACTCCGACGGCCTGCTCTCTCAGTGGTCATTGCTGCCACCGGGAGAGAGAAGGCGCCGAGCTCTCACAGGCGGCAGAAAAAGTCTGCCTGGTAACAGGATCTGATTGGTCAACAGGGGAGGGAAAATCCAAAATTGGTCTTATTTGAGTCAAGAGGGGGAAGTCCGGGTTAGGTTTCGGTTAAAACTGGGGTCGGTTGGGACTGCCGGTCCCAAGAGCTTCTTTTCTTAAAGGGACCGCAGGAGGAAAGACCAGGAGTCTGGATGCCTTTCGAACTTCCTTTTCTTTTTGTCTCTCCTTCCGTGTTTCAGTTTTGCCTTCGGTCGTCAGAGCTACTGGAAGAAAAGAACCAATGGATAATAAAAATAACTGGAAAATTATAGGTAGTAGTGATGGAAGTTCGCTGTAAGCTCACGTAACCCTCCTTTCATGAAAAACATGTTGAACCATTTCTCTCCCTCACCCCAACCACCATATATATACAAGCACTCACAACAAACCTACCAACAGGCTCACTGTCCTCATGATGGTGATGAGGGGGAGGGCTGAAAACCTCAGCAGCTGTACTACAAAAGCTGAATTGTATGCTAAAATGCTCTTACTGTTTCTTGGTTTCCCGTCTGTACTTCATTTCCTTACAAAGAGTTGCTAATGTATTTGCAGCCCCATAATGCTGCACTAATGAGCACTAGAATTTTGGCTGTCCCTGCCCATACCAACCTTCCTCCCCCACCCCCTTGCTGAATGGGAGAGAGAGAAATGATTTGTCGTTCCACTTACTGATGCATTCACTGGTTGATTTTTAAAAAAAAAAATTATTAGAGAGAGAAACATTGATTTGTTGTTCCACTTATTTATGCATTTATTGGTTGCTTTTTGTATATTCCCTGACTGGCAACCCTGGCATATAGAAACAAAGCTTTAACCAACTGAAATGTCTGGCCAGGGCTCACGTGAGCCCTTTACTCTCACAGAACTTTGTCCTGAATAGGTCATGGGTTCTTAACCCTCTTAGTTAAGGCTTTTTAGGTCATGAATCAGATGAAAGCAATGAACTGTGAAAGCTAATAAAGGAAATTTCATATATAATTGGAGACTGGACTGTTGCTGGAGGGAGCTGTCTTACCCTACCACTCATTGTCAATTACTCCAAATAGGAATAGATGACCTTGCATCTACAAATGAGAGGTGTTTTACTCTACTATGCTGAAGGGGTAAGGATGGTTTTCTTCTAACCCAGCAACAAGCCCGGCCAATGGAAAAAATGCAGCTCAGCCAATGAGAAGCCATTGTCACCCTCCAATGAACTTCCATTTTTCTTTTCTAATGACATCCTTGACCCGCCTCATTTCTATAAGACTTTGATTAAAATTTTTTTTCAATTATTTAGCCTCCATGTAGTTGTGTGTTTTTCAATTTTTTTCTTGTAATTGATTTCTAGTTTAATAGTATTGTGGTCAGAGAAGATGCTTGATATGCTTTTGATCTTCTTAAATTTATTGAGACTTGTTTTGTGGTCTAACATGTGGTCTATCCTGGAAGATGTTTCATGTGCACTTGAAAATAATATATATTATTCTGCTTTGTAGTGAAATGCACTGAAAATATCAATGAAATCCATCTGGTCTAATGTGTCATTTAAGGCTGCTGTTTCCCTTTTGATTTTCTGTCTGGAAGATCTATCCATTGATGTCAATGGAGTGTTAAAGTCCCCTGCTATAATGGTATTACTGTTGATCTTTCCCTTTATGCCCATCAATATTTGCTTTATATATTTAGGTGCTTCTGGGGTGGGTGCATGAAGGTTTAAAGGAGTTTTATCTTCTTGTTGGATTGATCTCTTTGTCATTATGTAACATCCTTCTTTGTCCCTTATTATAGTCTTTGTTTTAAAGGCTATCTTGTATGATAGTAAGTATTGAAATTTCAACTTTTTTTTTGGTTTCCATTTGCATTAAATATCTTTTTCTATTTCTTAACCTTCAGTCTGTGTGTGTCTTTTAACCTGAAGTGGGTCTTTTGTAGGCCACATATATTTCCCAGCCACGCTTGAGGCAATATGACCCTGACATTTCTAGTGGTCTTGCTTTAAAGAAGATGAACTTGGCAAAATTTAAAAGGGTCAATGTCATAGGCATGAGCAGCCATGCACTGCCCTCTGGTGGCCAGGTGAAACATGGCATTCATGTTATGGAGCTCACCATTCTGTCAGCAATAAAAGACCACACAGCGAACTGAGACATTTTCCCATTAGATCAGAATAAATTCTATGAGAGTCAGTGTTTTGGGGTTCCTTCTAATAGGAGTTACTGTCTTTTCATTAAAGGACAATACAGTCCTCATCCTAACTTGTGTATTTCAGAGAGTGTGTGTTGAGCTCCTGAATCAGGCCTTGGTTTCTAGAATAGAAAGTACAGACCAGGTTGAAGCCCATGGACCTGCAGGGGTGGGATGGAGAAGCGTGGTGATAACTGGTTTACATTTCAGTGCCTTATGTCAGGTTGAAGATAAAAGTACATGAAACCAAAGCATATTGATGGAAACCTTCTGATTAAACAAAAATCATTTTAGAAAATCAGAAAACTACCCCTCAACTATTTTCATGCTTTCATCTAGATGTAGAGTTATTCCAAAAATGGGACAACCTTATATTCCCAGTCACTTTTAATTTAACATGAATAATTATCCTTTCCCTTTAATATGTTTGAATCTATGATATTCATGGCCGCACAGTATTTCTTATTTTATGTTGTACATAACTGACCTGCCCCTACAGTTCCTGCTACTCTCTTCCTCTGTGCACCATTATCTTGTTTATCTCTGAAAGTGAAGTTCATTTACTATAAGCTCCAAATCCAGAATTATTCATGGAACTTCCATTTCTTTTTTCCTTAGGATGCTGGGCACTTCATGTCATGTGTTAGTTCCTTCTTTAGAGTGGGAGCTTTCCCCAGGCCAACCTGCTGCCCAATCAGAGCTCCATCTTATCTCTTTAGCACAGTGCTTGGCATATGATTAAAAACTCAGTAAAGACTTGAAAAACCCAATAATTATAAATGAGTTCCTCCTTATGTCGGAGAACTGTAATTGTCCATCAGAATCCATTGTCCTGTTTTTGGGCATACAGCTGAACGGTATTTTTCAGCCACCCTTGAGGCACTATGACCCTGTCATTGCCAGTGGAAGAGAACAGGAACCGATGTGTGCCATTGCAGACCCCGCTCATACAACCCCCCATCGTGCATTTTCCAAAGTTTTGTGCCCTCGGGCTGATGGAAGCAGATGGGGATGATGTCTTGGGGATGGAGAAGACACATGATGGAAGACCTCTGGGTTCCCAAGTAACCATGTGAAGGAGTGCATCTCTCCAATCTGCTATCTGCGAAAATATATAGTGACATGCTATGGAATTTTGGGGGATTACTTGGTAATTTAGCATAATTTAATAACCACAAAATATTTAAACCATAAGGTTAACTTAAGTAGTTATCAATCTAGTCCATATAAATGACCAACTCGATTTAACTGTACAACTGAGCCGGTCACTGGTGGATGGATCCTCTTATCTGCTCACTCAGCCACTGTGCTCTGTGCACTCAAATTGTACTAAAAAACACCAAGTTCTCTGCCCTGTAGGAGTTCACAGTCTGGAGGGGAAGGTGGGTACAACCATGAAAACACAAACACATAAAAAGAAAGAACAACTTCCATGTGAAAACAGAGCAGGTGCTACAAGGGAGGCTGGAAGCCACTGAGTGAGGGCCTGAATGGCTGCACTGAGGTGGCATTTCTCTGTCCAGCAGCATGACTGGGAGGAGCCAGCCTGCGCAAACTCAGGGGTATGTAGCCTGGCAGAAAGCACAGCTGTGCAGACACTTGGAGGCAGAAGGACTCTGGACAGAGAGGAGGTTAGAGAGGAGGTCGGTGTGGCTGGGGGGAGCCTGGGAGGAGATGGGGGAGGGAGGAAGGAGGACAGGTCCAAGGCCTGGTGCGAAGACAACTGTACTAGCGCTCTATTGCTGTGTGACAACATTACCCCACACTTCGTGACATAACCAGCAGACACTCACTATGTCACAGTTTCCTGGACGAGGAACCCAGCGTGGCTCAGCTGAGTACTTCCGCCAGTGGCTCTCAGGAGGCGGGGGCTGCAGTCTCAGCTGAGGCAGGACCTGCTGCGCTTAGGACCTGGGCCTCCTCTGGGGCGTTGGTGGGATGCAGTTTGGATGGAAGGCCTGGCTTCCTCTCTGTCTGTTTCCTCCCCTCGTTGCTAGGCCACGTGGGTCTCTCCAGATAGAAACTCACAACAGAGTCTGAGTCCCCAGAGTGAGGGACCTCAGAGAGAGACAGAGGCAGAGAGACAGAGAGAACACAGATCAGAGTGAACAAGTGGTTATAGGCACTGACTTTTTATAATCAAATCTTGGAAGTGACCTTAGGTCATTTCCTTAGGACCTTTGCCATTTTCTATGGATTCATCAATGCTGTCCGCACTTAAAAGAAGGGCACACATCCATACTACACACAGATGTGCCCACCAGGAGGTGGGGATCGTGGGGAGCCCCTGAGTGGAGAGGTGGAGGGTTCTCAGAGGTCCATGCTTTGCCCAGAATCAAAGACTGGTCAGAACACAGGGCCAGGGATGAACCCGGCTCTGAGTCCTCAAAGTTGAGGTCCTGGCTGCACCCAGGCTCTCTCAGGGGCTCGGGAAAAGGCTGTGCTGGTGTGACCGTGTACGGATGTGGAGATGGCATGTGGGAGAGGAAGGACATTTGGTAGTCTAGACGGGCACTTGACCAGCCCTTGTCTGAGGAGAGGCCAGGTTGGGGACCACCAAACAGCCACTCTGTCCGCAGCCCACCTAAGGTGGGGGGAGCCCTGGCCCCCTTTATGCTGAGCTCACACTTAGGCAGTTCTGAATCTCACATTCACTGGGTAAGTGGGAAGTCAAGGGCCATAGGGAGGCAGAGATTGTCTAGGGTACTGGCCAAAGTTCTAGAGTGTTCTGACCTTCCAGGCCAAGTCTCCAACTTCTCTCATAGAGTTAGCTGGTTTGGAAATT